CATTACCATACTTACACAATAGCATTTTAAGTCATTATTTTAACATTGGAGGCAAGTACTTACCACAAACGATTACAAGTAATTAGAAAAAGTAGTCATTGTAAATCGCATGAAAAAACGTATACAACTTCTATATCTTTACTGGCAAGATGACTAATGAATTAGAAAGTATTTATCTAATACATTATTAGTAAGACCTTATTAGACCACTTCTATGTAATCCAGGCGATATGTAGTAGTCATTGAAAAGTATGTTGTTAGGTAAGTAATTACAATTGAAAGCTATTACCCAGTTTTTGCTGGGTAGTTGCTACTATCATTCAAAAATGAAGCATGTACTGAAAATTATGACCATTTTCTTGGTTTATTAAGGGAAATGCAGGGATTCTAGCGCCAAGGACTTTCGGAAAAAGTATACAAAATGTGTAATGTTAGTCAATATATCTCTTGCTGTAAAAAATACACAAATTTCATTAAATTCATGAATTGAATTTACAAAAATTACAAAATTCCAAGAATTAAAATTTTATACTTTTAAATTATTTTTTATTTTATATGAAAACAAATTGTATGATATACCAGATAAGCTAGTCTATGCTTAAAACTAGAGTTGTCAATTATTCGTTTTTAAAATTATTCGAATAAAAATGTTTCATTCGAGTAGTCGATCAAATTTTAAAAATTATTCGATTATTCGAACGAATAAAATTTTTATTCGAATAATTTAATAAAATATAAATAAAATTTGCCAAACACCTTCAAAATCATAAGATACGGGTAAAGACGGTTCTAGTACATTAATGCACTTATAAATTAGTAGCTTAGTTGAATCTTAACCTACATATTTTAAATTTCTCCACAGATTTAGAAGTGGAAGCAGATGCTTTTATAATTTATAGTGTCCGTTGAATGTATTATCTCTCAATGTTCTGAGACTCAGTTTCCTGGCCGTAATTCCTAAGAATTTCCCAATCAGTGTTCGTGAGAAATATTCTGCTGCACCAAGACATTCTATTTGGGCTCAGTGTTTCAAAGTTTCCGACATATTTTGTATCTGGTATTCAGGCGCATCCGAATGTGTCCAGTATACATTGACGACGTGTCCTATTACCGCTTTTGGCCAGTTCACCAGTTCGGTTGTAAGTGCCGCCTCATATTTTTCAATGGGTGGAATATTTATCAACGTTTCTAGAGCCTTGCTTGACGTTGTGCTTATGGCACCACTTGTACCCAAGCAGCATGTACGCTAAACTCCCTGTTGTAATTTGATATTACACTTTTTGTCCAAAGAAGTCAACCAGATTATTGAAGCATAAGCTAGAATTAGTCCAATTACTAATTAAAACCTATGTCATATAATGTCATTTCCTGCCTATAATTTGCCCAGCACCGATATGCCTTTTTGATCCTGTCCTCTATGTGGTGTCACCATTTTTCGGTGAAGGGGTACACTCTGTCAATCACCGGTATCTCCTTGCCCAGAAAACAGGGTTCAGTATACTTAGAAATTGTTGTCTTTCTTGTGAAAAGACAGATACTTAAATTAAATAATGTTTATCGGTTTCACTTATTATAAACATTTAAAAAATTAAGAGAATCACTTTAGAACCATTTTATTTTTAACATTGCAAAACAAAAATTTTTATAAACTGCAAAAAGTAGTAAAAGTTTTGTTTCAATTATCTATAAATATATATACATAAAAATCAATGTATGTTTGTTTGTTTGTTTCACTGTATGTTCCTCTATATCTGGAAGAAACAATAGGCTACTTTTTATTTTTTTATTGCAAGTCGGAGAGGTGCCACGCACACTTCCTTAAAAGTCGAATATCTCGGAATATGGTACAACTAGATTTGTGAGGACAATTTTGACATCCATATGAATATTTTAAGGAAAAATGCGAGGACTAGCATTAGATGGCATGGCACCTCTCATATGAATTAAATACAAAAAAAATTCTAATATGTTTACATATTTGGGTCGTCATTGGAGCTAGAATCCTTAATTTTTGCACGAACAACTTTTTCATCCATGTGAACATTTGGTTAATAAATTTGGATAATAAATTTAATTCACATATGAATTAAATACAAAAATTCGTATGTCTTGAAAAGCATTGTAACTATGAGCATTTGGAAAAAAAAATTGTTGAACTAGCAATAACGGGCGTTGCACCTCCCATATAAATTAAAACTGAAATTAGTATATCTGGGAATCTTTAAAAGGTAGAACTGTAAACATTTAAGAAAAAGAATGTACCAACCATAAATAATGGTACAAAATTAAAAATGTGTGTAATGATAGTGGTTTCTCCCATGAAAAGTAAATATGAAAGTTAAAGAGATTTATAATGCTTTTAGGGTAGCAAAGCACACTGTGTATAGCTAGTAACATATATGTATAATAGAGTGCTTCAAAAAACGAAATTGCGATTTTTGCCCGTCCCCCTCTAGAATTGTTCTTTGGGTTGTAAAACTATGTCATATAAAATATTAGGCTGATAGGATAACGTTAACAGGTGCCACAACGACTCTGAAGTTTCCAAGTGCCTTTACAAGGGGAAAACATCGATTTTTTTCAGTTTTTGCTCAAATTTGGCCATTTAGTAATAAATTTTGCACTTTATTGTAATGGAATCGTAATTTGCACAGAGTAAGCATTTCGGAAAGATATAAAACACAAAAATTGCTTGGAGACTTTAAAAGTTATTGCAAATTCCCCAGGCCATTAACGTGTCTCACAGCACATAAATTCGAAATGTGACTAAAAAAACATTTTGTTACTTAAAATATAACTATAATTACTCGAATATTAGTTTTTTTCTCTTATAAGATAATGCTAACTTTGATTTTTTCAACGTCCGTTTCAAATCTCTAATTTCAGTTGAAACTTTGTTAAACAAATTTCAAAATTTTTAGGAGATCTCATGGGGATTTATTGACAATAGATAAGAATATTAAACGGTAAAAAATTAGATCAGTAATTCTTACAGTTTAGCTGTATTGAACTCGGCGGATTTCAGGAAAATCGCATTTTTTGTAATATTTTAGAGAATACGTATTTATTCATTAATTATGTACATTTGAAATAAAGTATTATCAAAGTATTTTAGTCCAGATAATATAAAATATATATCCGAAGTTTTATTAAAATCGGACATTCTTAACCTATAAACTGTGGAGTTCAAGGTCAAATTTTGCAATATTTGGGAATTTTTAGTGTACCATATCGAAATAATATTTATTTGTCGGCTATATTTACCAAAAATGACTGGAATTTATCGTATATAGTCCGATATTTAAAATAGAGTGAAAAAAGGTAGATTAACCCTTAAAGGCACTTGGGAACAATTTAACACCAAAGTTCAAAAATTCGAAAAAGCACTATCTATTTGAATAATGCTCTATATAATTAGAGGAATAACAGAAATAAAACAAAAAATCTACATTAATAATAAATAAAGTTTTCAAGCTATTTTTGTGTTTTATATCTTTCCGAAATGCTTACTCTGTGCACAATACTATTCCTTTACAATAAAGTTCAAAATTTATTACTAAATGGCCAAATTTGAGCAAAAATATACATACATACAAGCTTGAATCACTCTAATGTGTAATTACTTGTTTCACAAAATATTAACATAATTTCAATGCTATGTATAATAAAATATTCGCAAAAAGTAACATTCAAATAATCGACAAAAATTTTTCGAATTATTCTTTATTCTAAATTGGAAATTTTTTATTCGTTCGAAGAAAAAAAATTTTTTTTTCCTCGATTAATCGAATAATTTTTAATCGAATGACAACCCTACTTAAAACTTAATAATTAACCAGTTTTTTTACGATTTTTGTAAAAAAATATAACTTTTACTTAAAATACTTAAGGGACAAAATTTCGTGGGCAATGCCCACTGTTACGTATATGTAACGTTTTCTAAAATCCTAACCAGGCAAGATAGAAAAAAATTTTAACTTAAATCGGTTGATATACACAAGTAAACTGTCATATCAGAATTTCACATTTTTTACCTTACGTAGATTGTCGTGGGCATTAATGGGTTAACTTCGCCTTTTTCCTGAACCAATGACTTTAAACGAGAAATCCCACATCCCACATATAAATATTCTGAAAGAATATTTATATGTGGGATGTACTGATCCTAGTCCTAGATCGAATCTGCCATACATGGCAACGTCATGTATTATTTATTTTTTTATTTTTTATTATTATTTTAAATAAGCTCTAAAGGCCTATTCGGGATTTACAGTTGTATGGAGTCTAAGTGAAATAATAGACCGATTTTTTAAATTTTCAAAAGACTTTGTCTTAGGCTTTGTAAAATAATAACAGCGCACTGTGGGTTAGAAACTTTAATTTTTGACAATAATTCGGTATCGTTGGAAATACTGGATATATCGTAACGATATCTCCCGTTATTGGAGCTGAGGTGTTTGCGAGTTGAATGACAGTTTTATGTGATCGTAGGCGGAATGGGGGCTTTCCGCTGAATCTTGGGAATCACATTAAAAAATCTCCAAAAATTAATTTATGATCCGAATTTATTATTTTTCGTTGTTCTATATTTTTTAATGATGTTTATTTTATAAACAGTGGCAAAAGCTTTTCAGTGTACATACATATGTATGAATATTTGTTAAATTGGTCACACAGCCAATTGGTTTGCACAAACTGTAATTTTTCTTTGATTGTGTTTGTGCAAATCAATAGCTTTAGTGTAGCGCAAAAATATACTAAGTTTTAAAAATGCAATGATGCAAGAAGATTTACACAAGATTGTGAATTAGGCTATTATGTATTTTGAATGTAATAAAATTATATTAAAATCCTAATAACTAAATGTTTTTTTCTTTTCTGCCTTTTTTTAAATTTTTGGGTGTTTCATTCATGTTTGTTATCTGCACATTTTCATCGCTTGTCTTGATGTTCGTGCGCACTTTACCTGTGTTGTTCATTTGTTTGCTTCATTTTGTAAGTTTTTGCCCTTACAGCTGCTCTTTTGGGCGCACGTTTTCGTGCCGGCTCAAACGCTGGTATGCTTGGTTTAGGAGGACTTCCAGGTTTAAGTGGCGAAATTGGTGGATCTACAATGGATGGCGACGAAGAGGGAAGTGAATGTAACAATTTAAATGTACCAGCAGGCTGTAATATGGGTAGAAGGCGAAGCAGGGCGGTGCTTTACCAACTTTCTGGTCACTACAAACCAGAAAAAGGTGTAAAAACAAAGCTGAAACTTGGAAATGTGAGTATAAATTGCATTATATTAAAAGACCTTAATTCAATTGTTGTTTATTTTCTGTAAGTTTGAAAAAATCATGGGTTTTCACAGAATTTTAATAAAATTTCCATTATATATGGTCTGATTTTGCTGATAAAAAGAATATTTTCGAAAGCGTAACTGATAGAATCATTCAAGAAATAACAATTTGGTTGCAAAATTGTCAAAAATGTTTAGCTAAATATTTTTTATACACTGAAATAATCTCATTATTATTATTATTATTATTATTATGTATTATTATTATTATTATTATTATTATTATTATTATTATTATTATTATTATTATTATTATTATTATTATTATTATTATTATTTATGTATTTTTTATTATTATTATTATTATTATTTTTTTGATATTTTTTAGATATAATTTTTTACTCATAACGCATTATTTACGAAGGTCAAAGATTTTAACATACTGACGTGGTTTTAAGCTTTACACCATAGAATATGTATATATTGTATCAATTCTAAACATTTGGTGTTTTGGTACAGGGTTCGCCCCTTACCCTCTCCGACTTGAAGAAATACTCCTTGAATAAATACAAAATTCAAAGTTCTAAAGAATTTTCAAAATCGTTAATTAATTAGATTATATTGCATTTCTAAATAAATTGTTCGATTTTATTAATCTTGGTCTCAAATTAATGGCTATGAGTTCTAGCTTGACAATTTTTGAGAAAAAAATTGTATTGTTTTTAAATAAGGATAATAAATTCAAAAACATATTTGAGTCAAGTATATCTCAAAAAAGGTATCTTGAATTTTTCTAATACTAACACTAAAATTATAATATAGTCTCAGCGACTATATTATAATTTCAGTATTTTCACACAAATTTAAAATTAATTCTCGACGAACAATTTATTTTTTGTTTCGAACAAAAAATTCATTTTGTACATCAAGGACAAAAATTTTAAACTGGAAGGTAATTTTTTAAAGATCCCCATGGTCCCATTCAGATTTTTGTATATGTTGTCGTTGACATTATAACTTAATTTTAGTGGAGGCATTATAAAAATTTAAAAATATATTTTTAAGATATCTTTGTTCAAGAATTGTTTTTGAATTTGTATAGATGGGAAAAGTCTTAAATACCCATTTGGTAAATACCCAATTTATATGATATACATATTGCATTTATGAGGAATTTCGTGTCAAGTAACCAAACTTTTAAAACAAGGTTAGTAATATGGGACACAAATTTTCAGCTCTATCGGTCAAGAATTGCCGGAGTCAGACGTTGTCAAAGTTATTAAATATTTTGGTCATACGGGGTTTTATAAAAATGAGTGTAACTTTTCACCTATTGGTCCTAGAAAAAATTGTCAAAAGGAGTTCAGATAGCTTTTTCTTCATTGTTTCCAATTTTTTTTTTATTTAAAAAAAAAAATGATTAAGGTTATTCACGGTTGCTCGGTTATAATGTTATCGAGTTATAAAATTAAAATTAAAGTAAGTAAAATAAATTTAACAAGACGAAAAATTTTATACAAAATGCCCAAAAAAAACGTAAAATCCAAAATTATTGACTTTAAAGTATATTCAACTATAGTTGAGATTGTTTTTGTTGAAGGTGAAGAATTTTCTCTTCATTACTTGCGAATATTACAAATTTTTGCATTTATAGACACAGTAAATTCCGACCAATGCCATGCTGTCATAGATGAGCAAATAGTTGAACTCATGGAGGATATAGCAACAATCTTTGTTTCCAGGAGAGGAAATGAACTCATTGGCGAAATAATGTACTTAGCGATTTTGACGACGGGCGTTTTTGCAGATGCTACGTGTTAACAAAGCCCAATTTTATCGTCTTGTAAATATATTTCCTAACGACATGGTCTTAAAAGGTACAAGTTTCAAATTAAAACTCCCGTTGGATTTTCAACTCGCAATTGTGTTGTTCCGTTTAGGTTCGTCGGGAGTAAGTGCTTCAGTGCGAAAAATTGCAACAATATTTGGAGTAGGAGACGGTGGTTCTCTGGCTAAAATTACCGAAAGAGTATTTTCAGCAATTTAAAAAAAACCCGGAATACATTCATTGGTCTAATGCAACAGAACGTCGACAACTTGCAGCTCAGACATTTAACGAATTACCGTATTGTATTGGTTACATAGATGGAAGTGAAATTAAGTTGGCAGAAAAACCCAACAACAATCATGAAGTCTATTTTTCACGCCAACGGATTTATTCCATTATGTTGCAAGTTGTGTGTGACCATACACTTCCTGGGCTGCCCACGTCTGCAGCTACCATGATTCAAAAGTTTTCAAAAACTCATATATAGGAAAGAACACAACCCGTGGAGAAGAATGGATTGCAGGAGATTCCGCATATCAGTTATCAAAATATTTAATAACACCACACACTGTCACGAGCGTGGCCAAAAATTTTTAAAGTCGATGTATGAAATTTTATTATTTTTTTTCTTTTGTATTGAAAACATTCCTATTAGTTTAAATGCAAAATATTATTTAAACATTTTGTGTAGTTTTTTAGTTATTGTAGCTCAAAGTTAAGGTTCGCATGCAAGATAATATATTTAAGAGAAAAACCTAAAATTTGACATTTGCTTGTCGTTATTTAAATTAAAATCTGTTTTAGAATTGGCTGATATATTTGTAATACAATTGAAAGGTATATATATAACGATCATTGTAACACTGTTTTGGTTAGTAGTTGATCCTTCTCGAAATACCGTTAGATAAAAGATACCTCCTAAGTATAACGACGATTTTGATACAAATGTCAACTTCTGTTGACATTCTTCTGTTAAAAAAAACACCCGATATCACTTTCGAAATTTTTTGATATTTTATTGCTATAAGTATGTATTTTAACATATATAAACTTCAACTGCTTCTGAGTGCTTTTACGGGTTTTATATAAATTTTTTTCTGTCAACATCATTATATTTTTTGCATATTTTTCATAAGCGGCTGCAGTTTAAGAAAAGTAATACATATAATGTCTTACATAATATTAAACAATTTTTAGGAAATTTGATATGAATAATACTAGTGGATACATAGTAGGAAAAACTAAAATTTACACTTTTAGAAATGAGCAACAATTGAGCTATATACAGGAAAAAGTAGGTTTGAAACTTAATAGAGATACTGGGTGGATACATGGAACTTCGTAATAGTTGACAATTATGTTGAATTTTTTTTAGATGATAATTTTTTAAACAAAATATAAAAAGTTCTATTGCTATTGCATCGGTAAAAAGTTTATGGAAATTGACATCAAACGTTCTACATTTACTGCAGGACCACCTGAGTCCATTCGACCTATCAATGATCATATCATAATCCCTTCCTTTAAATCCGGCACAGTGGAAATGGACAAGTGTATCACACATCAAGCACACTAAAAGGTCCTCATTGCGAACTTTGCAATTTTCAAACGAACAGGACATTTCGCACAGTGTAATAATAAGACGACAAACAGAAAAATTAACTAAAAGCCCTAAGGTATGCTATTAAATTTAGTAGTTGAAAAAAAAATAAATCAAAAGGTATCAATAATACGGTAGAAAAAAGCTAAAGCAAAACACAATTATAATTGGGCACAATATATCAAAATAATAAACAAATGAAATGTATAATATCCACGCCAGATAATATCACTGCACTATTAATCACTCTTCACAATAAATATAATGTCAATTAAATCGCAAGAATAAAAAATTTGATGTATAAAATAATTAAATTTAAGAAGTCGTAAGAGAACAAGCAAAAAATTTTAATTTACACTTGAGGGTTGTCAGACTTATATAGGAGGTGGGGAACAAAAAATTTAATGTGTATAATTACTCATATATCTCTTTATAAGTGATTCGATACAAAATTTTAGTTTTTTTTTTTGCTTTTTTCGATTATGTATTTGAAAAAGGACATTTTCGAGGTAGGCGTATCCTTGGTCTGAATTGAACGAAATTTGGAGGTTGTATTAAGCATATCAAAACTAAAGTCTGTACAAAATTTCATTAGGATCCTTGAAGATGTATTGATCAAATTTTAAATTTTTTTATATTTCGTCAATTAAAACATGTGTGCCAAATTTCGTTATTCTACGATATCTCCTTCTATTTTTGGCCACTCGTTATATGAAATCACAACAGTGTGCGTCATATCGTAGTAATTCTACTTTTATGGATATTTCACGACAATAGCCAATTTCGCGTAAGAGTTGAAAATTGCTTTGGCATTCTTAAGGAAACATTTTGCAGCTTGAAAGATATGCGAATCAAATTAAAATATAAGAAAACCCAAATATTCGTTAATAAATGGTATTGGAAGACCGAAATTTTTCACAGTTTGATGATGAAGAAATTAGTGAAGGACAATATGATAACATTTCTCTTGTTTTACCTACACCGGAGCTGAAAAGACAAGCACTATTTAATTTAATTCGTAAATAAAAAAATAAAACTTTTAAATTAACGGTTTTTACAAGTTTATTTATTATTTTTATATTTCATTTCAATTTCATACATTTTTATTCTTTCATTTTGTTCCAGCTCTAACTTTTTTATTTGTAATTCATTTTCAAGCTTCATTCTCTCCATCTCCATTTTGTTCTTCTCTACTTCCTTCGCCCATTCGAATTTTTCAGTTTCCAACTTCAGTTGTTTTTCCCGAAATTTCGTCCTCTCAGTTTTTATAACTTCCAACTTATCGAAACAAGTGTTTTGTGCTCTGCGTTTTACTCTGTGAGCAAACGTGGTTGAAGCTTTCGAGGTTGTTGCTTCGTCACTTACTATAATGCTTTCATCTTCGACATCGGTTATATCTAATGTATCGGACGATGTATCCATTATAATAACATCAATTTCCCTAGTGGCTGAAAAAATGTCCTATAACTGGTCGTAGTGTGGACATAGTTTATACATATACTTTATCTGCAAAAATTTTATTATTAAATAGCTCTAACTAAAGTACCAGTAGATTTGCACCAAGATTCAATTTTTTGCAAAGTGTTCTTAAGATCGCGTACTTTGCATTTCAATATGTTCCAATTTGCATCAATTTTGGTCCCCTCCAAGAATTTTTTGTAGTAAATCTGGGCTGTTGGTTTCTGTCAATGGAATAGTTTAGCATATAATAATAGGATTCGCAAAAATATGTGTACATAAAATCTCACCTCAATATCTCTGTGTGCCTGCATATAGCTTAGAACCACGCAACTCCTATACACTGTGTATTTTGACCGTTACTAAATTTACACAGACTACACGCATAGAAAACACAATTCAGTCTCATATGAGCTGTCATTGAAGGAGGTTGTGTTGTCACTCGTTTATTGCTATTGCAATGAAAATGAACGAAAATATATTAATGCAGGGATGGATAATTCTAATT